ATCTCTTAAGAGCTTAAAATAGAGGGGGGAAAGGAAGATCTTTAAAAAATAATGAAAGGGTTATGGATGGATATTTAAAAGATGCAGCAGAAGGAATAAAGGGTAAGGCAGAGGGAACAATCAATCTATAAAAACACTAGAAAGACATAAGATTCCAAGAGAGAAACATAAAAGAATCACCAAAAAACCAATAAATGATGAAATTCTAAAAAGGCTGAGAGATGCTGTATAGAGATATAATATTTTGCAATATAGTAGTAATATTGAAAACCAAGAGAAATAAGTAGAAAGTTAAAACTGGGAAAATAGTAACACATATATAGATATATAATAGAATTTATTATAAACAAATAAATATATTAAGTTTAGGAGGTTAGAAGACTAAGACTAGGTATAACTAAATATATTATTATGATTAACATGTAAAACATATATTGAAAAATATAGTTTTCAAGGACTATAAATTCAGGAGACAGATATTTTTGGAGAAAATGATAAAAACTCAAAGAAAATAGTATAGTTTAAGGATAATGAGGTTAGAAGCCAATAAATGGGAAAAATAAAGAAATAAATATAAATTTGGAAAATAATATAATATAGATTGATACATAGAAGAATATATTGAGGTTGGAAGATAAAAATTCTGTATATGTAATTATTATTACTGTAAGCATTGGGTGAAAAATATGTTAATCCAATCATTACACTGTCCACAAAAAACATTGGTTGTTAAAGAAAAACTGCAAATAAATATATACCCAAAAAAAGATTGACTACAAAAAGGCATTCAATTCTCTGCCATGTGACTGGATAATAAAGTGCCTAGAAATAACAGGAATCAATACAAACATTAAATCTTTATGCAAAGATCCATGGCACAATGGAAGGCACAGTTGCAGGACAATGGTGAAAGACTAGGAGAGGTTAATATCAAGAGAAGAATATTTCAAGGAGATTTACTATCACCACTACTATTTGTCATTGCACTATTTCCTCTGTCAACAATATTTAATAACTCAACCATGGCTATCAAACATCAAAAACATCTGTCAGACTATCCCACCTCCCTTACATAGATGATTTGAAGCTGTATGGAGAAACAACATCTGAAATAGAATCACTGCTCAACACTGTCCTTATATATAGCCAAGATATTGAAATAGAGTTTGAATTGGACAAATGTTCCACACTCACTATCAAATAAGGAAAAATAGTGAAAATTGAAGGGCAAGATGCCCCCTGAAAATAACATTAAGAGTCTAGATGAAGATGATTACTACAAATACCTGGGTTTCCTTCAAGCTGACAACATCAAGCATACTGAAGTCAAGATAAAAGGATTAGAGGTGAATACATAAAGAGAGTGAAGGATCTTAACATCCAAACTCAATGGAGGAAATACCATCAAGGCAATCAACACCTGGGAAATTCCAGTCACTAGATGCACAGCTGAAATAGAGGATTGGACTCAAGCAGAACTAAAAGCAATTGATAGGAAAACAGGAAAAAATAATGACAATGAACCACGTCTTTCATGTCCTCAGAGTGACATTAACAGACATTAACTCTACCTACCAAGGCAAATAGGTGAGCGTGGAATGTTGGAAGTACATTAGCAGAAAAAAGAGGGCTTTAGAAGAATATCTGAAGGATAATGAACAAGATGCATTGAAGTTAGTATACCCGGAAGGCTTACTGACTACTGGAAAGATCAAACTGGCCTACAAGAAAGACCAAATGAAGAACAGAATGGAGGCATGGGAAGACAAAGCCCTACAAGGCCACTACATTAAAAAAATAGCAGGGATAAATATAATAATGACACCTGGAAATGGCTAACAGCAGGAAAGTTAAAGAAAGAGATCAAGGGACTAATTCTGGCTGCACAATACCAAGCCTTAAGAACAAAGGTATACAAAGTCTAAATTGAGAAGACATCAACAGATAGTAAGTGCTGTCTGTGCAATGAAGCTGAAGAAACAGTTGACCACTTTGTAAGCTGCTGCAAGAAGATTGCCCAGACTGGCTACAAACAACAGCATGACAAAAGAGCAACAATGGTGCATTGGAAAATCTGCAAGAAATATCATTTGACTTCAAGAAAGAACTGGTGGTACCGTAAAATAAAGAAATTCATATAAAAGAAGTTAAATTGCTCTGGGATTTTAGAATTCAAATAGGCAGGCACCCATCACATAACACCCCAGACCAGTGGTTTCAGGCGGTATGCCCTGGTATGGGTATACCGGATCCTGCCCAGGCATCAGATACCGTTCCGTCCTGGTGCTCTGGAGGGCCCACCTGCCCGCCTGCGCTCCTTACTGGTGCTTTATGCTGCTGGCGCTTCCGTGCATTCACATGGCTCGTATGACGCCTGCACAACACTCCACGGAGCAGCTGGAGCATCGCAGAGGCTTGCAGAAACATCATTTGATGTTGACCACATGCGTGCACACACGCTGCACGCATGCAGGTGGGTAACTCCAGGGCTGTTCCAACCGTACCAGTTGGAACGGAATCCGGAACCCACCATTGCCCCAGACTTAACAATTGTCAATAAGAAAGACAAAAACGTCTGGCAGTGCCTGGAGACAGCAGAATAGAAGAGAAAAAACTGGAGAAGATAACAAAATACAAAAACATACAAATAGAAATAGAATGACTGTATCAAAGGTGAGCAAGGATAGTACCAATAGATATAGGCACTTTGGGTGCAATCCCAAAACAACTGGAGCGCCACTTGAACACAATTGGCATTGAAAAATTCACCATCAGTCAATTGCAAAAGACAGCTTTACTAGAAACAGCTTCCATCTTGCAACAATATATGTAACACCATCAAATATTAGGTCCTTGGTAAGGACTCGATAGGTAGACAAAAATACAAAACCCAGTCTAACATCTGGATTACTGTGCAAACAACCACAACAGTAATAAATATAAATATAAAATCAGAGCTGATGGAAAAACAATAAGTTTCATTCTGCAGGGACTATTCAGAAATACCTCAATCTCAGAAGGACAATAAAATTAGGTGAAATAAGCCATTCAGAAGATGCTGAACAGCCAAAAACTAGAAAAATGTATCTCTCAGAGGCCCTAGTCGACATGACAAAATAGAAGGCTGTTCTGAAAAACTTTATAGCACAGTAATCAATTTTGACTCTAAGGTGACAGGAATTTTGTAAAGCACAGTCAACAGCAACAGCAACAGCATTTAGACAAATATCAGTTTACAATATAAGCATTATTTGCATATTATCCTCAACAATCTGGGTCTTCATTTTACTGACCTTGAAAGGATGGAAGGCTTGGTCAACCTTGAGCCTTGTGAGGATCAAACTATAGGCTGTGGGCAATTTGCCTACAATATTGCAGTTTAACCACTGCACCATCAGGGCTTCTTAAATCCCTAACTACTCCCATTTTAGGAAGAAGCTGTGGATTCTTCAGGGAGATGTCATTGGAAGCAACATTTGTAAGAAGATGTGGGTCAAGTTGACAAGGAGAGGAATTTCTTCAACTTTTTTTTAAGATTAAGAAGAAAATAAAAACCTTTAAGAATTTCTGGGGGAAAGTACAGAGGAAGCAAGCAGAAGTCTGTTGTTGTAGTGATAACTGATAAGCAAAGAATTCTACCCAGAAAATTATGGGAGATTGTTATTTTCTTTCACATGTTTGTATTTAATATTTTGCCTCTTGAATTTGTTTTCTCTGCACTAGATTAGTAAAGTTGTATTTTTATGCACATTGAATTTTCTTTGCAGTAGAGTTTGGATTCTGCCAGAATGGTCTGCCACCTTAATGTTTTCCTATGCTGTTTTTCTCTTTGAGATTTTTTTGTGATTTTAACAACTCTCTATTTTATTTCTAATGTAGTCGACTCTTGCAAGTTACAATTTAATATTAAAAACACTTTTTCTAGTTTTTCCATTTTTCATAATTTAATTTTATTGATTTTATTTTATGGATTGGTCTATCTCCCAAAAAGTGGTGAGGGCAGAAGGAGCTAGCGATATGCCTCAGTATTTCAAGACCAGAAGGTGGTGCTATACAATTTATTTCATTTTTTAAAATTTTAATATGCCAGAAAAGTTACATTAGTTATTGATTTAAGGAACAAATGTCAGCTGTGATTTTTCTCTGGAAGATAGCAGAAATTTATCAAGCTAGTACATCAAAGTAGGAAGTAGAGCTATGTTGAGGAAACTCAGAAGGCTTCTGGGAGGAGAGATTTGAAATCCCCAACCTTTCACTCTATAGCTAAGCTGCTACAGGAATCTAGTAGGTTCAGAAGAATGTCTCTGTAGAACTGAATCCATGGGGATTTATTTTGGAGAGTGTATTTCTTCCAATATTAATTACATTCAGAGGTATTTCATATAGAATAAATTGTGATTATCTAGTCTTGATTAAACTAAACTAAACCTTGTGGTTGAATACTTTATCTGCACATCTGCTAACAAGAAAGCCAGAGATTTAAAATTAGCATTTTTTAAAGTTGAATGTAACTCCATCTAAGGCAAGATGACTCTTTGATTACCAGTATTTTTTTTAAAAAAATAAGAAAATAACTCCGTGTTTGAATTTGAAATCATCCAAGAGTATACAAAGTATTACTAAAAATTTGGGATTCCTGATGCAACTAATTCTTCACTCAAAAGAACTTTTAATTGAACGTACTGTGATTCATCTGTTTGCACAATCCAAATTCTTCTTACAAATGTAAATGTCATAAAACGCTGATTAATAACAAGATGATCTAAATAATTTTTGTCTATGAACTCCAAATATTTCTCAGAGGAAAAAGATCAAACTCATTCTTCTTTCCCGATGTTTTCCAAATGCATCTTTCATTCTTTCTTATTAGAATCTCTTTAGCCTTCTACATTTATTATTCCAATACAGGAGATTATATGTTTCTAAATTACTTTGATTTAAGATTGTCCCTATCTTAATCTTTCTAAAACAAGTGAATTAATAAACCAATGTTTTAATAGGTTTCCCAAAGCCAATTTTATCAAGAAGACAACAAATGAGCCAGAGAAATGTGCTGGAAAATCCAGACTCTGAAACTTTTAGAAAAGCAGAAGGAAAAGGAAGGAAAACGCCACTACTCCAGGGAATAGCAAAGTTTGCTAGAGGATCTGGTAAATTCTTTTGCAAGTTGTGCTAATTTTATCCTTTTTATATATGTATGGAATTTTTCTTTAGATAGATTTCTTGCTTATTTTAGCAGACAGAGAATGCATAGAATATTGTCAGGTTAATTGTAGCTAAAGGACAAAACATGAGCAAAGTTGATTAAAGTTAAAAGTTACTTTAAGCTTCTAAATAAGGCAGGTCCATGTATTAAAGTCCCAGTATGCAAGGACATAAAAATAAAGATAAAAGCAGTAGTGTGTAATTATGTATCATAATCTATGATTTTTCACATTTCTCTGGCATTTCCTGTAGCACTAATATAGCAGACTGTGTTGCTTTGGTGATTTGAGACAGAACTGTGGTAGTTATTTCTTTTTTTTGGTCAGTAACCAATGTATCATTTGGCAGAATTACAAATATATAATTTTACATGCAATCCTCAATTGCTGTCATATTTAGAAAAATATAAATACTTCATCAAATAATATGACCATTTTTCCTATACATTAAAATTAATTAAATGCAAAAAGTTTTCTTAATATAGAAAACTAACCAGTTTTTAAATGGACTATCTCAGAGATGGGGTGAAACACTTGACTGAACCCACCCACCCCCACCCCCAATTAAACAGTTTATCTCAGACATGAAAAAAGTTTAGATGGAAAACTGGGACTCAGGAAGAGAAAAAATAGTGGTGTTTTTTAAAAGCAGCAACATTCTGTATGCAAAACAAAATATCTACTGTGATGTTTGGAGTGTTGAACAGGCTGGGGGTTAGAGTACTGGATGGAAAGAAGCATTTCTTTATTTTAAAACTGCTTGTTCTGTCTGTATATGTATTTGTCATATAAATGTATCTGTTTTATTCTTATATATGTAAATTCAACTTTACACATGTGTGTGTACGCGCGCGCTCAAGTTATAGAGTAAGAAACATAATATGAAAATATATATTTTCAAAAGATCCATGCACATAAGGAAAGCAATTGGCCATTCCTGGAACAGAAAAATGTAGGCCCCAGCATATGGCAACCCATTTTTTGCACCGAATACCTTCAATATCTTTTGTTAAAGCAAAAGTCTGGCTGCATTTTCTTAAACCAGCTTAAAATTAAGCCAACATTAGTATGAGATAAATAAGTGCAGATAGGCCTATTCTGTCATCTGCATTTGTCAAAATATCTCAAACATGAAACAACAATTTAAAGAATTTTACTATAAATAATTTGTGGATCCAAAAATGTAACATTTATTTATTTATTCATCAATTTATAAAGCCTGTGTTTCTATTATATAGAAAAAGAATGCTTTTTCCATCATTGTTGAGTCATTATATTTAATATTCAGGAAATTGGCTATAGACAAATAAATTATAAAAGCTAATTTTCTCTTCAATACAGAAAAACAAAATATCACAGGGCAAAAAAATGGTCCTATTGAGAAGACAAAGAAAAAACCCCAAGAAAAAAAGAACATATTCCAGTCCTCTAAATTAAACATAAATAGTAAACACCTAGACCATGATCTTAAGAAAGGAAATATTCTTACAGTAGGACAGCAGCCCTTAGCTAATTCAGTGGATTCTTCTATACAGACTGCTAATAATTCTTCTTTATCAAATGAATCAAGTAATTCAAATCTTCCACCCATTAGAAATACCCTTTTGAAATCCAAAGAAGATGATTTTTACACAGCACTTGGCTCAAATGTAGAAGCATCTGTTGGAATAAATGAAGACACCAAAAACGATAACTTAGAACAAGAACTTCTTTCAGTTGATCTTAACAAACCTCCTCTTCTTGATCAAAGTAGAGGTAGTACAATATCTTTAACACAAGTGGAACAACATAATTGTGAAACTGGAGTTGGGAGTGATGGAAGTAGAGCTGAATTTTCCCATAGATTTTTACGACAACATGATGTAATAGTGGACTCAGCTATTGAACCACATTCATTAGGACAAAGAAAAGTAAGAGATCAAAAAAAATCTTATTCTCTTGAAGAAAATCTTTTGGAAGAGGCTCATAAAAATGAAAGTGATCATTTGGAATTTAATACAAAAATCCCACAAGCAGGAAGTACAGCAGCTGTTGAGGCTCCTGGTAATTTAAATCCTCCTGAAGACTGGCAAGGGAGCAATGCGTATGGCAGAGAAAGACAGAGTTTTGAGAGCAATCAAAGATGTTATGCTGGTTTTATTTCTGCTAGATCAACAGTGCAAAGACCTTCTATGCATTCACTTAATATCCCAAGTACCTTAATACAAACTGCAAACAGAAGTGACATGGCAGGCAGTGTGGATGTTGCAACGGGTCCTGTGCAAATCACAGAACTGAATGGAAATCCAAGGCTAACTGCTCGCAGACAACTATCTCCCATAAGAATCAGGGATTCCTTTTCAGGTGCTGAAAGTTGCCAATCTTCGTCATCCACAGTCAGCCACTTTGATGATAGCAATCTGCTTGAGGACAGTATAAGCAATGGTCTAAGTAGCATATCTCCAAGCATTTCTTCTCATGATGAAGATAACTTTCTGAATTCCCACAGTTCCTCATCATCCACAGATTCTTCTCCTCCATCTCTTTTTCGGACAAACTTCACAGCACATCTTCACATGACTGGTCCTTTACCTGATCAAGTTCCAATTTTCCTGACAGTATCTGATTTGCGAAATCAAAGCAACTATATAAGCAATACTACTTCTTGTAATTCAATAAATACCAAAGAGATTAATAAAGCTGAAACAGACCCTGAGAAGCTAAAAAAGTTGCAAGAGAGGTGAGTAAAAGCTAGTGGGTGGGGGAACATTGATACTTATATATTTTGTTTAGTGTAAGCTAAAATATAAAGAGTAATCCATTACCTTTGATCTAGAACTATTTTAAGCTATTTCATGCTACCATCATTTTTCAGTTCCAGAGTTTAAACTGTAAGCTCTAATGTGGAGAAATAGGATATTCTGCATAACTGATCAGATTTGGCGAAACATTTCTAAAGATTCATATATAATAAACTATATTTTCCAAACCTTGATGCAATGAACTTTGCATACAACAAAATATTGTTTTGTAATATACAACATAGAGTAGGAGTACTATTACACAAATGATGCAATGATTCAAATGGTGTAATATGCAATATTTGAATAATCATTCTGGCATCATTCAATTTATTGGAGTTTGGGAAATAATGGATACTCTTCCTTCACCTCCTTTAGGTTTTTTTGTACAGAGATCTTAAAATGTGTAATCCATAGAATGTTTTTATTTACAGGAACATTTATTGATTGTGTTAACAGGTTGTTTTCAGCTCTTCTACATGGGTAGATTTTCTCCATGATGATCCATCTCTAATCTGATGTTTCACATCTTCTGACAAAGCACTCATCACCATTGTAACAAGGTACAATGGTGATGAGAGCATTGCAATTGAATCCATCCTTCTAGCTACTGGTTGTCTTATTTTGTTCTAACTTACTCCAGTGTTCTCAAGAGAGTTAGGCTATTGCATAATATATTCAAAATAGGATAAACTGAGCCTGGGTATTTGTGCCTCAAGTGAGAACTGAATTAATACATTTTATGATTCATTTAATTGCTGTCTTGACTGCCCATGGTGTTCGCAGGAGAATTCAACACCGAAGTCCAAAGACATCAATACTCTTTGTAGCCTGTTTCTTCAGAGTTCAACTATTGCTTCTATAGGTGCCACAGTGAATACTATGGCTTGCATAATTCTGATCTTTATAGTTTTAGACAGCAGAGTTTTTAAATAACATTTCCAAGTATCTACCTTTTTTTTATTGCTTGTACTTGACTGTTCGATGGAATATGCAGCTAAAGAAGGAGTGTGTGTGAGTGGGGAAAACTCTTGGCAGTAGCACTGTGGCTTCTGAGGAAGAAGGCAGCATATTCTAGAGAGGGGGCAAAGATAAGAGACCGTGCAATCTTGAATTGAGTGTATGAAGGAGGCAAATGTTCAGGATAACCACACACTTTCTGTCTTTTGACTTCAAAGCAGTTCCTGATGATCTGCTTGGAAATGATCAGTTAAATGCTCAAGATAATATTATGGAAAATGACCGGCTTTCTTCTTCTTCTTTGTTAGCTTAACTTGAAACTTCACATGAACAGTCACGATTTCCACAGTCAGCATACTATAATTGAACTTCTCCATCACCTTTATGTTTTTTCATTAGGTCATATGCATGTATAGATGTATTATTTTGATTGCTTGAAGATAATGTTAGCTATGAAAAAATAGTTGGCATGGCAAAAATTGGTTTTGGTTTTCTATGCCATACTATTGAACTACATTTTTTTCTTCCATGTTTCCAACTTTGGCATTCCAGTCTCTAATCATAAGCAGCACCACTTGCTTGCATAGTCTATTGATTTCAAACTGAACACCATAAAACTAAGGTGACCAGATTTTCAGATTGGTAAAGAGGGACACCTTTGACTGGGGGGTGGGAGCTTGATCAGGTAAAGGACCAGTCATGTGAAGATGTGCTGTGAAGTTTGTCCGAAAAAGAGAT